CTTCTCCCTCTGGCAGGACTTCAGGAGCCTAGATCACCCCATGTTCTGGTAAGGTGAAACCCAGGGGGTGGTTATGGTGCCGGGGGTGGGCGTGGGGAGGGGTGTGTGTGTGTGACAGCCAAAAAACAGGAACTTGGAGACACCAGGAAGGCAAGATTTTAAAGGAGAAAAGTGTTTCTAGGCCCTTCACCCTAGGGTGGGTGGAGAGAAACCTGCTCTCTTCCTTGCACCAGGCCTGAAGAAGAGCGAACAAGGCTCCTGCAGGGCACCGGCATCCCCGAAGCAGTGGACAAGGACCTAGCTAACATCCAGCTGGAGTACAGCTCCATCATCCTGCCCTTCATGGAGTCTCACCCCACTGTCTTTGACCCCCAGCTGCACACGCTGGAGCTGTACAAGCAGCTGGTGGCATTTGTCATGGCCTACAGGTGAGAAGTGAGGGGCTAGTAAAAGACTGGGAAGAGTGGTGGCTGTGTTACGTGCTTGTGCAGCCCTCACCTTTTAAGTAAGTATAAGGTGAAGCTCACCCTGCTCTGCAAAGCGTAAAACTGACTTGTCTTCATTGCCCTTGTCTTAGCTTTCAGGAGCCGTTGGAAGAGGAAGATGAAGATGAAAAGGGGCCGAATCCTCCAATGATGGTGCCCGTAGCAGATATTTTGAATCACGTGGCCAACCACAACGCCAACCTGGAATACTCTCCCGTGAGTGCAAAGCTGCCATGCCAGGCATTATTATGCTCCTGTTCCTCCTCAGTGCAAGGTCGTTGGGAGGAGTGGCTTGTTAATAGGAAGTTGTTTTGCTCAACGTAGGCCCCTGCTGCATGCCTGGCTTTAGTCATCTGAGCCTCTTTGAAACACCTTGTTTCCGAGCAGTAGGATCACAGCAGCTCCGAGAGCCTCTCCTCTCCCTGCTTGCAGCACTGTTTACGTATGGTTACAACGCAGCCCGTCGGTAAAGGACAAGAGATCTTCAACACGTACGGGCAGATGGCCAACTGGCAGCTCCTACACATGTATGGCTTCGCAGAGCCCTACCCTGGCAACACCAACGACACGGCTGACATCCAGATGGTGACAGTACGCGAGGCAGCACTGCAGCGTGAGTGGCACCCGTTAGCCGCTTTGGGGAGGGACGGGGCAGGGAATCTGCTAAATGTGATCAAGGGCAACATGAAAAATAAGCCTGTTCCACAGCATTTCAGGTGCTGGGGCCCTGCCTTTTTTTTTTCTGCCCTGCCGTTTCCCTTTCTCCATCCTCCACCCCCACCCCAGGGGGTTTTGTGGCTCTGCTGTCTTCAATGCAGGTGCTGGAAGCGCAGCGCAGCAGCGGCTGGTCTCAGAGCAGTGGGACTTCTTGTGCCAGCTGGAGATGGTGGGGGAGGAAGGCGCCTTCGTGCTTGGCTGGGATGAAGTGCTGACAGAGGAAGAGCTGTCCACGACCCTGAAAGTAAGCGCTGCCACGCTATGGAAGAGCTACACAGGGAAGAGCACGGACTAAGCATGCTGCAGCTGCACAAACCAGCATGCAAAATAGTTCACTGAAAGGGGGATGAGCATGGAAAGGCGTTGTGCTACCAACGCTCCTGCGTGAGAAGGGGTAGGGGGTGCAGTTGCCCAGCTCCCAGGCTTCAGGTACTGTTAGCCACCTTCCGTTGCCCAAGTAGCCACCCACAGGTTCTTCCCTACCACTCCTGAACAGCTCCATGGCTACTGCTGTCCTAGAGAGCAGCCACAGCTTTGCAGGTCGCAGTCGAGACGTCCTTTAAGAGCGTTACCACCCCCTCGGGTTTGCTGTTTGAATGTTCTTCTAACCCACATGTTACTTGTGATTCGGTAGCTAAGCCGGTTTTGCGCTCTCACCTTTAGTGTGGGTGAGGAAGAGTTCACCTGCCCCACGTGGCTCTAAACCCACGCTTCCATGGAGGAGAAAGCCCGGTTACTCACGCAGCCAGTGACTCGGCTCTTTGGGTCTTTACAGGTGCTGTGCATGTCAGAAGAGGAGTTCAAGGAGTATAAGGAACAAGACGGCTGGGAAGACGACAGCAAGGAAGAGGAAAACTCTACCCTTTCTAATGAAGCTCTCTCCAGACTTAAACCCCCTTGCAAGAAGCTCCTTTACGACAGTGTGCTGCTGACCCTGGAGTCCTACAGCTCAGACCTGAAAGCAGAGCAGGACTTGCTAACTAACAAGGAGGCTTATGAGAAACTGAGTCGAAGGGAGCAGCAAGCTTTGCACGTGCGCTACGGACAGAAGAGGATCTTGCATCAGCTGCTGGAGCTGGTACGCTAGGAACCTCGCCACCCCTGGAGCTGTGCTTGGGAAGGGAAGCTCAGCCTTCAGCCATCCCTTCCACTGCAGTGCCTGGCTTTTTAGTAACCTCTCCCATAAACATTTTCCACAGCACAGAAGTGGGTTTGGGGTGGCCTTATCTTACAAGGAGAGCTCTGGAGCACAACTACCGCCTCCTAGAAGACGTAAGAAAACCCAAACCTCCTACGGGCTGTTTTAGGAGGGCAGATGTACGCTGTCAGAACAGCAAGTAGGTTCCCTCATTTAGCGTCAGACATTTAAGGCAAGAACTGCTCCCGAGCCAGATGAAGAGGGCAGAATCTTATCTTAGGTTCAAACATCTGGCAGGCGGAGATGCTGACAGCACTAAACTCTTCACCCACACTTAGTTAATACTGAGCATTTTAAAGCGTACAAGTTCCTCCCTGAACTCAGGCATTGCCCTGCATCACCTTATAGCTATATGAGTGTATTTTTCCCCCTCAGCAGATTGTGTATGACCAAGCACTGGAGATTTGCAGGCCAAAGCTATATTTAATAAAGACGATGTTTCTTACTGACTAGCCCAGCTTGCGTTACTGGGGTGTTGGCTGAGTCCTGTCCAAATTCTACACCCCCTCTTTACACCAGCCTAACAGTTCTTGAAGCCGAAAGGGAACTAGCCACATGCAGCAGCATTAGTACAGAACCAGAGAGACCTTTGAGTTTTGAGTCATGAGGACAAGTCAGTAAGCTCTGCATAGGGTTTGCTAGAAAAAAAAAATCCCAGAGCACCTTGATTAGATAAAGAAAAAAAACCTGGTTGCTGGTAATTCTGTGTCCTAACCCACCATGGGAGGAAGGGTAAGCTGGAGTTGCAACACCAGAACCAAAAAAAAAAATTCTAACTAACTCTGTTTCAGCATAACCTGACAAAGAAATGCCATGGAATTGTAGGAACTGGCAAGAGACTCCTCAACACAGGTGACTGAAAAACACAGCCCAGAAACAGGTCACGGATAGAGAATTCCCTGTGAGCTGCAGTCCACTGGCACAGCTGGCTCAGCGGTCCCTTGGGGCTCGTTTTTGCTCTGCACAGCAAAAGCACAGCCAGGTACACAATCCCTTAAACCTGAGCAGGAAATCCTGACCTCTCCACCCATTCAATAGCAGTCAGCTAGCTTTAACAAACTAGTAATGCTAACTGAAAAAGAAAGCGGTGAAGCTTTATCTCCTACTGTCTGCCAGGTTGCAAGGCACAGGCTAAAGAGTTCGCAGTATCAGCAGCACTGAAGCCACCTAATCCTTCTCACAGCTAACCAGCAACCCTGCGCAGATCCCTGCGGACAGGAGCTGTCGCAGCAGGGCGCACGTCACAAGAAATGACGTCTATGCTCCGTAGTCTGCCGCTGCGAGCGGTCTCCTTTCTGGCACAGCATCAGAGAAGTTCTGCTCATGAACTTGTAACTAACATATTTCTATCTCCGCGCAACCACGGCCTTTCCTTTCGTGCTTCACAGTGAGGCCCGTAACAATTCTCCCCTCTGGCCTCAAGCTAGAAAACAAGCTCGGTTGCTCTAAAGAGGCAGCGGCCAAAACACACTGGAAAAGTGCAGATTTTTGGATGGGTGGAACAGGCTTGGAAAGACATCAACTAGCCAGGTAGGATGGAACTGGAGAGAATAAGCACAGTGGCACGTGCTGCATGTCATGACTTTAATGTGTAACTACAGTATGCATACATACAAGAAGTGGGAGAACTAAAGCCCAAGAACTAGAAAGGCTACAAAATACAACACATGGACCAATACTTTACAAAACATTCAAAATCCTTACAAAATGGGCTGTATTGGTCCTTTGGGTTTTGTTTTTTTTTCCTTTTGGTTTTTTTTTTGTTGGTTTTTTTTTTTTACAAACTTATACTGTGTGGTCAAGGTGGGAGGTGGGATAAAGGTCTAGATTTAACCCCCCTCTTTCCAAAATTTACAAGTGTCAGAAAAAAAAAAAGCTATAGGCCTGGTCTCTGGTTTCTTTACTAAAAACAGCTGACCCTCTCCCAAAGGGCCTGAGGTGTGTCTTCTCCAACAGAAAGGAGGCATTCTCTGACTGCCACTCCACTTGCTGTCTGTCAGCATTTGATGGGGGGGGGAAAGCAACGCTGAACCTTAACCCCTCCCTCACCCCCTTCCCTACTCCATATATTCCCATATTCCAAACATAGCCACCTTTTTTTTCGTTTGTAAAACAACTTAGTGATTTAAAGGTCCCCCATCCACATAAAGAAAAATAAGTTACATAATATTATAACTGGCTTTTCAATATTCTTTGGGAGTCTGGGAATGTCAGGACAAGGAGGTCTGCCCCAGACAAGTGCTTGGCATCAGCAGCTGCCCCTTTATTACAAGCTGGACAGGCACCAGTCACCCATCTGCCTTTTACACAATTTGCACAAACCCAAAAGTCCAGACAAACGTTTCTGTTCCTTGTATTTACACTAGTTCAAAATGATATTCACAGCATCTTCTGAATTTTGGCCAAAAGTCAAAAATTTGTTTCAAAACTTTGGAACGTGCCCACACAGACTTTCACCCAAGGGTCTGTTGCGTCTACCCGATTCAAGGGGGCTGGGAAGGTCAGGAGGAACCTTACAGAGTCTTCTGTCAGTCGATGGGACAGGGACCTCCAGGCTGGCACGCTTAGAACACAAGATGCAGCTGATCTAACTGGCACCAGTCCCTTCCATTACTTGCTGGGCCTGCTTCTGCCCCATGCAGCACTGTGCAACCGACTGGAACAACCTGAATACAGAAGCAAAGCGGCATTAGGTGTGTCTGCGGCAGCAAACGGTGCTACGAAGCCCTACCGAAGGACGAGTGTTCCACTATGAAGCGCCAAAAACTCAAGGTGCATCTCAGCCCCTGCTTCAGATACATTGTTTTGAGTGATTTTTAGGGATAAGCTATACTTACTTCTCAATTTCTGGAGCGCAGTGAACAAACTCATGGTTCCAGAACTTAAACGCTGGATTTTTTATCAGCTCAATGAAAGTAATAAGGAGACCCCAGGGATGAGGCCTATTTACAATCAGTCGTTCCAAGAGAACCCTGAAATCCAAAAGTAAAACCCGTCAGAGCTCAAAGAGCCATGATAAACAGGGAAGGGAAGTGAAAAGCTGAACGTTGGCAAGCGGAACGCCTTCCCTCTCACCTGGTGATCTGCTCCTGGATAGCCTCAGTGTTGGCCTCTGCAAACAGGTACAGCATGGTGCAGCTGAAGTAGTGGGTGTGACTGTTGGGATATCGCAGCTGATTGGCAATTGCGTTCAAGAAAAGGTACCGGCCTGCAGAAGAGGAACAGCCAGCACATACGGTTTTCCTTACGCGCACACAAAAAGCAATAAAGCGGCAACTAGTATTGCTTAAGATTAAAGTTTGTGAGCCTGCCTGATGAAGGTGTGAGAAACAAAAACAACTGAAGACAGTAAAAAGCCTTGTCAACCCAAGCTGATGGGGCAGTAAGAATTCGATTCCTCTTCATTAAACTTTCTTCTCATTCCCTTGAACACCTCAAACGTTTGGTTTTAATATTGCTCCTGGAGTCAGAGCTTAATATTCTAACGTAGCATTACCCACTGTGAATTCACTAGCGACTACTTGAAAGGATATTCTGTATTTCTCAGAGCTGCTGAATTCGACATCGCATGAACTAGAAGTGTTTCCAGCTCACCTTCAGTGTCCAGGTCTACTGCCAAATTCTGGAAGATGTCCATGTGAGCTGAGTGGGTAATGGTGCTCATAGAGGGGGTGCTGCCTTTGTTGTGAATGTGCGCAATAGCTTGAGTACCTACGTAGAGCACCAGTGCATTAATCAGCTGGATGTTGTAGCGGTTGCCAGGTTCGTTTGATACCTAATAGCAAAGACATGAAGAGCATTAACATTCTGTATTCCTTTGGCAATCGAAGGTACAGCATGTACAACAACAGCATCCAAGCGACATCCACAATTTCAATTTGGCATTTACCTTTTCGTAATATAGCAGGGTTTTTTTTAAAATATATATTCAAAAGCATCAGCAAAGGGTTGACAGACCCAACAGATAATTTTTTTTTTACTCCCTACCTAAAAGAAAAATCAGGTAAAGGCAATCTGAATTTGCTAGCAGTGCCAGAAGTAAAATGCGCACCACCCCGTGAACGCTTCAGTCCAAGCAGTTTTCTGAGAAAGTCCAGCTTCCGTCCTGATGCAAGCCAAGCCATGTGATGTTGGCTAACAATTCTGAACTGGGCTTCAGCTAATTTGCCCGTTTTTTTTTCCCCCCACCCCTAAAGCATTAGCATGCGGATCCATACATTTCCATAACAATGAATCCATTTGGAATCAAAACTCATTCAGATTCTAAAAAAAACCTGCAAGCAAGTTCAATAAAACCCATTGAATCTCAGACAATGCCTGGGTAAACAGCGCTGGAGTCATTCGATGGAAGCCACAATGCCCAAGGACAAAAAAAAGCAATCAGCTCTGACTAGTTCTTTACAAAAAGACTTGCAAGGTTCTGCACTAGATACATGCAAGCAGAAGAGTCAAAGTTTTAGATAACCTTACATTTTCACTAAAAGCATTTGGCAACTCTTGTAGATAAAACCAACTGCTTTTAAATTAGATCGCTTTAGGGTCATTTTAAGTCAACATTTCCTTAAATTCCACCTGATCATTTGTCCCACACTATTTAAATTCCGCATCCTCAGAAACCAGCCACTCACTTGGAGGTTGCTGCGCAAGTCAGACAAAAAAGTGACTGGAGAACGGGTTTTGAGATAGGAATCCAAGTCTTTCTTGAACTGAGGTGGCATCACTCCAGTGAAATTTGTGAGTATTCGTGGAGCAATATTAATCTCACTTAACATGTCCACCTGTTGAGAGAAAACCCAGTCAGCTAAGCCACAAGCAATCTCTAAAGGAACTGCAAAAGCACATGTGTAAGTGATATTTACATCAACTACTTTCTCCTACTGGCAATGAAAAGGTAATACTGTACTTTTACAGATTGCAGAAGAAACTTGGTCTCTAACATGCAAACTTAGAGGACTG